CAATGCCTTCAGTCTGCCTGGTTCTGTGTTATGTGCTGTATGCATGCTATCTTATTTAATCATCAGAGCAACCTTATAAAGTAGGTATCTGCATTATTATTTCATGAATCTGGGACTAGTGCCTCACTATGGTTAGGTAACATGCCTTAACATCCCAGCCTCTATAACATTAACAAGGCCAGTGAATATTGGGGCTGAGACTAGACCCCGATACAAACTGAACACTTTCTTACACAATATGAGTAATTCCCAAATGTTTGAAGTCCATCAAAACACAGACACACTGAATCACTTCAAATCAAAAGAGGAAATTTAGAGGTAGTAGAACTAGACACAATATTTTTAGTGAGCTAATATATAAACACATTCAGTATAACTTGTTTAACTCTGAAATGTTCATGTTTGGTGTGCCACACAAAAAAAGTATTTTTTAATAAAAAGTAGTTTATTCAGATACTGATGACAGACTGATTGAATTATTGTGTAAACCTTTAACCATTTTAATATGAAGTGAGCCAAACTGTAGGATTTTAGGAATCTATCATCTTTTTATTTCCTCAGCTTATAAGAAGAAACTATGAATTTTATGGTACCATAGTTCTTATGTTTTGGGGATAAAATATTCTTTATTGAGTCCAATAAGTAAACACGGCAGCCATTTTTAGAAAAGGGATGAAAAAAAATAACAAATTCAAAGTAAAACATCCCCAGCCCCAAGAAAAAAAGGCATATCACATTTATTACAATGGGTATTTGTTTAAATAATCTTGTTTTCTACAAATTACTACCAACTTCTTCTGATTTTGTCATTTCATTTCATCATCCTATATAATAAAAGCCTAATATGCAAATTGTTCAACTGGGAGTTCAACTGCTTGCTATGATGTGCGCTGACCACCAGGGGGTGATGCGGAACATGGCGGGCATCAGTGATGCAATGCTGGCAGCAGGCCCTGATAGGCCCCGATGGGCCCCGACAAGAGTGGGACTGAGGTGGGATGGTGGAGCAGATGAGCAGGTTGGGCCAGGCCAACGCAGGTGCAAGTGGGGACCCAATTGCCTCACCAATTGCCCCACAGGCAGGATGGTGGAGCAGGTGAGGGGGTGGCACCAGGCTATGGTGGGGTGCCAGGTGGGGCTATGGGGCTGCGAGGCTGGAGGCACAAGCTGGGGCCCGATCCCTGCACGACACCGGTAGGGACCCCACCAGTGCATGAATTCTAGCACCGGGTCTTTAGTCCTTAATAAAAATGAGAGGTTTATCTAAATAGAAACAAACTTTTCTACACTTTCAAATGTTATTTTTGATGTTGTATTTATAAAAAACATTTAAGTACAATATTTTCAAACATAGACCACTGACTTTTCCTTGCTGTAATAGGTAAATGATACCTAAGCCAGCAAGAAGAGTTTTCTTATAATGGAATATTATTCAGTTTTGAAAATGAATTAAGCTTTGACACATGCCACAACATAGATTAACCTTGAAGACATTAGGGTAAATGAAGTGAGTGAGACACAGAAGGACAAATACTGTATGATTCCACTTACATACGAGACATAGAATAGGCAAATTTAAAGAGACACAAAATAAGAATAGAGGTTACAAGGGACTGTATAGGGGTTATTATTTAAGGGCTACATTAAACTTTTGGGGGGATGATGATGAAAAAATTTTAGATATCGAGGTGATTGGTTACATAACATTATAAATGCATTTAATGCTATGGAATTTTACAATTGTGAATGGTTAAGATGAGAAATATGGATATTTTACTACAATAAAAGAAATAGGTAAGAATTCTGCCGAGATTTTACAACTGAGTGACAGAAAATTTAGCCTCTATTGCTGGACCTAATACCTGAATATGTTCCATTCAACAAATTCAGAAGGTTCATGTGTGGGCATTAATTCATTTGGTTTACTCAGCCAATAAATATTTATTTAAAAGTCACAGTATGTCATGTCAGACTCCGAGGGACGAGATGGATGGTAAGGAAGGTCTCCTGCCACAGGACTGGGAGAGACAGCTACATTCGTAAACGATTAAAATACAGTTTAAGGGCTGCAGTAGGAATAGAAAGAATAATAGTGGGAACACAGGGGAGGAGGTTCCTGCGGGGATCAGGGCTGCAGAGAAGAGCTGATAATTGATCTGGGTTTGAAGTTTGAGAAGGAATTGGATTGCTCAGATGTATTTCAATATGCACAACATTCTCACATTTCTGCCTTTAGTCTTAGACTAAAGTATGTACAGCCTTCTCAAATATTTAAAATTTTTTTACCTTTGTGTATAAGCAAGCTCATCCCTGGAGTTAGAAAAACATCTTAGTTAATTCTCTGTCCTACTTATTAAATATTTATAAGCAAAACCACTTTGAGAAATAACTCCAAGTCAATGAAACATTCTCAAATCCCGTAAAAGTATGCAATTTTGTAGGGAGATGAGGCAGAGACAGCTGACCAATAAGCCCTGAAGAAACAGTCAATGCGGGCTGGCCGTGCAGAGGCAGGAGAAATGACTTCTGCTGGGAGATGGAGAAGCACTTCATGGAGGGGCGGGAGGTGTTTGCATTTTCCTCTGAAGGCTGTGGAGTTAGGATAACTAGGTGCAAGTTCACTTCATTTGGATAGAAACGTATGAGCAAAAGCAGAAAGGCAAAAAATATTAGTCTTACCCAGGAAAGCAGTGAAAAAATCGAGCCAGAAAGGCCCTTTGGGGCCAGATTATGAGGTTCTCCAAACCTTTAATGTTCTGCTTATTCTTGGAATCCGAGAAGCATGATTTGTTACTGTGTAGATTTAGGAGAGAAAGGCTGAAGCGTCTTCACATCTCTATCCATGTACAAGGGATGGTGGAGAAGAAAGGCCATGATCCAAAGGCACCGGATGGGCACTGGGCTTGTGGGAGGGGTGGGAGTAGACGGAACTAGAAGCATGACATGGTGATAAAAAGAACATGTTCTGGAGTCAGTCAACCCCGGGTTCAATTTCTGTATTCAAAACATACTAACTATGCAAACTTGGTCAAATTACCTACATTTTCTGAGTCTCATTCTCCTTGTGTGAAAATAATAGTAACTTTATATAGGACTATTCCAAAGACTAGAGGATGGGGTGACAGACTTCTGTAGACTTCAGATGGCCCTCAGAGACACCAGGGCTAGCTCCTTCCTTGGGTAATTTCTAAAGTGCCAGCTGAACACGAATGTCTGTGAAAGAATTTAGATTTTTCTTTCTGCAAAAATAAGTGATTCACATAATTGAAGTTATAATTTACAATTAATATATCCCTAGATAACTACTATAGTTAGTTTTAAGTATAAATAAAAATACCATAGCTGAAATAGATTTTCCTAGTGCAGACAGTTATCTCTGGGACTTACTCAAATATTTTTGAAAGCTGAATTAAGCATTTTCATTCCTCTTAGTTGCCATTTAGGGCTCAGGACCACGTATTTAAAAAATAGTGTCTTGTTGTCAGATCTAATATAAGGTCCCTCCAATTCCTTTTCCTAATCAGAGCTCTTTGTTAGGGTTTTACCCTGTGCAGAGTATGCTTCTGCCAGAGTGACTATGGGCCATACTCAAAAGTATGAATGCAAATTTGAAAACAGTCAAAAAGTTTGCCCACCCCTGGTCTAGATGGTGGTAACTTGTGTCCCTTCCAGACTTTATGTCTTTGTAACTAGCTTTTTCTTCTAATTATATTTCAGGTGACCCTCTTAGATTTTCTATTTTACATAATAACATTATCTGTAAATGAGGTCATCTTTTTGACTATTGTATCCTTATTTGTGCCTCCTGATATAGAGTTAGATGTGCCAGGATGATGGTGGTAGTGGGCATCAACAGATGGAATATTAGTGTTTCAACATTTCATATGACATCGCCATTTAGTTTTGAATCCCATAGCACTCTTGTCACATCTTTCCTGTCACCTAGCTCACATCATATAGGAACTTCTGGGAAATGTCTTTTTCTCATTGAGCCTGTGCTCATTGAGGAGAGGGTCTTTTCTTATTCATCTCCATATACACAGTATTAGCATTGAGCCTGAACCAACATATGTGTAGATATTTATGGGAGTTACAAAAAGTACCTTAATGTAGCAGGGCTCAATAAAAAGATCCTGAGGACAATAATCCAATAGTAAATTATGAAACTTTTTTTATAATTTCAAAGATCATTCACTGTCAGCTATTTTTCTAAAAAATGTTTTACTTAAAATTAATCAATATCTTGAATACTTGTCTTTTTGGTGATTCTTATATAAGAAAGCAGGAAGGAGATACAATTTAAAGCTCCATTTTACTTGTAATTAAAAGAAAAAGGAGAAGCTCAAATTCTGTTTAGATTGTTGATCCAAGTATGAATCCTTTAATTTTTTTTGTAACGTCCAGCAAACATACAAATAAATAAATCCAGGAATTAATAAGATTAACTAATTGGTTACTTTATAACTGCCCATAATACACAAAACAAAGGTAAATTTTATATTGACTGTCTTTGGATGCTATTTCTTGGTATTTTCAAACAATTACTCTAATGTTATATGATCTCCTTTTCTTAGTACTTCTCACTTCACAATTTTTATATATTCCTGTTTTAAATAATGTTTGGCTCTTAATGTCATTCATGTATTTATTCATTTGTAAATAATGGGATATGAGATGGGGCTGAATAATGTGTGAATTTCTTAAGGAAGAATTAAAATATAACAAAGAATAATTTACAAAACCAATATGGTAGAAGTCATATTTATTGAAAAAAATTAATATCTTTGCTATAAAATTTGTAACAGGAATATTTACTGAATGTTTATTTTGATGCATAAACCTGAATATTACATACCAAATACAAGACAGTAGCACTAGTTTTTCCTTTATTTACATTTTATGAAAATTGTTATGCAGTCCGTGTTAAAAGAACTTATGATGGAGAATTGTTACATTAGAAAAATAATATTCTTGATAAAGCATTCCCAAGGAGTCCAATCACATTTTCTGCCTCTTCAATAAGGCAAAAGTCCCTGGAATAGCATATAACTTAATTTACAAAATACAATAACTGTTCAGACACATATTCAAGTTTTCTTTTGGTATGATTTTTCCTCACTGTAAAATCACTTTTTTCTCTCTTTTTCCCCCCTTTTTTTGCTAAAACAGAAACATAGACTTTTAGGAAAATGCCATTGAATGATTTTAGCTATACATTACATATACAACTCTGTAGCCTAGCAACAACCATTGCTACACCATCATTAACTTTAAATATTTTGCTTGGTGAGCTCTTCTCAAATGTAGCATATTTTAAGATTTTGCCATCATTATGATTGTGGAATCACTGTTTGGTTTGCAGAGGAAACAGACCTGTCAGTGCAGAAGCTCTGTTTGTTTAGGGAACTGGTACACAATTACATTTCCACTCACAAGAGAACGCCACAGACGCAACTAAAGTCAGGCTCTGATGGCTCCGCCGAGGTCCTGCCCTGGACAACCCCCACCTCCTGCCCTCACTGCACAGCCCTGGACGGGTGCAGGCAGCTTCATTTCCAGACATGTGTCTAGTTTGTTTTTCATAGTTAGGTAGTTTTAATTCCTTCAAAGGCACACAACTTCCATCTTTTCTCCAGCGTTGCTCCCACGCCGGTGAATTCCTGTTTAAACATGCGAGGCAGCCTCATCAAAAGCATTTCAATTTCATTTGCAGATATCTGTTAGAAGAGAAGTAAAGTCAGTTTTAGGAAAGGAACTCATCTTAAAGGTGGCGAGGGGCTGGGATGTGCTTTTTCAGTGTGATAAACAGCATGTGGTTTTATGTGTGGCTGTCAAGTAAGGTCCTTATAAAAGGAACTTGAGGAAAGCGCTGAATGTGATTCTTTCTCATTCTGTGAGCAGCTGGTGGTGTGGGGCATGGGGCAAACAGACAGCAAATTCCAGGTTCACCCTTCAGATGGTGGCCCCCTTGCTGGCAGTGCCACGCCTGACCAGCCCTCCCTTGATCTAAAAGGAGATAGGGGGAGGGATTTAAGAGAGCTCCGAGTAAGTTACCACCACTCCCAGAAAACCATGGGTGCCCTCACTCTTCTCTACAAAGGCAGCACTTGTATTAAACTCGGTGAGGGTAGCGAGGACATGGGTAGGCTTCCTGACGCTCTAACTTCTTTCTCTACCTTTAACTTTCACTGGGACCAGAACACAATAAAGGATCAGGAACAGAAATAAAACCCCAAACCTACAGCAATAAATCTTCTTTTTTAAAATATATTTTTATTTATTTTAGAGAGGAAGGGAGAGAAAGAGATAAAAACATCAATGATGAGAGGGAATCATTGATTGGCTGCCTCCTGAACATTGGACCAAGTCCGCAACCCAGGCATGTGCCCTTGACTGGAATCAAACCTGGGACCCTTCGGTCCGCAGGCCAATGCTCCATCCACTGAGCCAAACCAGCTAGGGCAAAAGTCTTGATATCTAGTCATAAAATCTAGGTAGATTTTTTAAATTCAATTTTTTCTTCTACCAATTTTTAAATTTCATACCTTTTCATACCAATAATTCATTTCCTCTTAAAAAAAGAGCTGATTAACCACAATCCTGCTCAAACACAGCCGCTGCTCTTGTTTTCTTGTGCTTGCTTCCTCACTGTGCATGGGGGAGGCTCTTATACAGCGAGGTGGCTAAGACCTTGGGTTTGGGGGTCTGACATTTCTGTTTGAATCTTCTATCTACTATTGTTACGCACTAGATGACCCCTACCAAGATAGTTAGTCTCTCTAAGCCTCAGCAAGTGGGAGTAACAACATTTCATTAGGATGTGTAAAGACTACTGGCTTAGCATAGATTGGGGCACACAGAAATGTTCGATGAATCAGACCGATTATTATTTTCCATTTGAGAGTCTACACTTTTCATTTAACACTATTAAGACTAATTTTAAAGAGAGATCAAAGAGACCAGGAAGTCAAATCAACTGTTGACTTACTAGTAATATTCACATGGAAAAGATTTCACATGGTGTATTCAATATTTCTGGGCCTAAAAAACAAAACTTTTAAGTAGTGGTAGCTCTAAAAGTTGAAATCAACTGTACTGTAAAATTTTCGTGTGAATTATTTTGAAATCTGAATATATTTTCCCATAAAACCATGCTAAATGGATAATTAGATTCTCAGATCAACTCACAAAAGCCTACTAAGCAGATGATGAAAGGTTCACAGTGGTTTTGACAAGCACACTTCAATGAGCACTGTGCAAAACACCTCCACCAGCGTCCTCACTTCATTCAAACAACACTCCTGAGACCTGCGAGGCAGCTGTTACATTCTCCGTTTTATAGCTGGGAAACCGGAGTGAATTGCAGAACTGTTTTATGAAAGACAGACTTTGGGGTGAACCTGCTGCATGTGGTTGGGACCTGAGCACTGGCATGCCGTAAGCTCTCCCCAGGACTGTAGTCGCCTGCAGGTGAAGACTCACTGGTGCAGCTGTTTTTTTAAAAATATCAAGCACCTGGGGTACTTACTAAAAAAACAAATGATCTAACCCCTTCTCTGGAGACTCTGATTTGGCTGATCTTAGGTTATGGCCCAGATAATCTAATTTTAACAGTCACCCCAGGTAATTTGTATGTTCAGGCATATTTGGGTTAAGAATGAGAACTTTAATCAGACAGGCTTGGATTTTAATCTGCACTAGTCCTCAAACAAACTGTGAGACTTTGGACAGGTCATTGAGTAGCTGTAATTCTCAGTTTCTTGGAGTGTATAATAGAAATAACAATATCCCTCCCAGTGTTATTGAGAGAATTATACATAAAATGTAGCACAGTGCCTAGCACAAGTACACTTTCTATATATACCATATGTTAATGCTGATAGATTAACACACTAATATCAAACCTTTTGTGGTAAGTGGTTCAAGATCTGTGTTCCTAGGACAAAGAAATAAGTACAGGGAGATATGCTGTCAAACTCCATTTCTAGTTGGTCTGGGAGGCAGTTTTCCTTCAGCTTTAAGGCCAAGTTCTCCTCCAAACAAGCTTCTGTGGACAAAAGGGGCCACATGCTGACCTGACAAGCTCAGGAAAGGCCTGCATGGCAGTCTTGCAAACTCAGAGCCCTAAAGTAACCACAAAGGATGGTCTGAAATTAAACTTTAACTAAAAGCAGTTATGGTGGGTAGTTACAACCTAGGCCTTCTGTCTTTTTGCATCTGTAATAACATACCCTTGAAATGTCTGGGTAACTTGTAACTTCCCTTTTTCTGGACCCCTTGGGGCACAACCTAATGTGACTGATCCCCAGGATAGATACCACAAATTCCTTCATTATCATGTTAATTGTTTCTGCACCCACCTAAGTATGTGACTATCATTTTACTTTTTATCCAATCCCAGGGGTTTCCCTGCTTTGCTTTCTCCTGCTTCTCTAGTCCATCACCAATGAATTTCATGTAACCCACCTACATCCCTTTCCTTTGATTGCAATGTATAAATACAAATGTAACCAGTCATTCTCTGGAGCATTATCTCAATTCATTGAGGTTCTGCTTCCCAGCATATGTCGACAGTTTGGCTTAAATAAACTCACAAAAATTCTTTACAGATTTCAATGGTTTTTTTACATTAACATTACCTTCTTTCTTTGTAGGAGGACAGCACAGGATGAGCAGTCCTTCCTCAGATCAAGCAAATACTGTAGAGAAGCTGGCAGACCAAGGTGACAGCCCGTCCATCATAAGCTTGTTTCTAGCATAACTACCACCTCCCTTAGCCTTGTGCTATTCATTAGGAAGGAAGAAAAAGCTGAATTCTTTTTTTTTTTCATTCAACTTAGAAGATTCTAAGGATATATATATATATATTTTAATCTTTATTGTTCAGATTATTACAGATGTCCCTCTTTTTTCCCCTCATAGCTCCCCTCCACCTGGTTCCCACCCCACCCCAGGCCCTCGCCACCCCACTGCCCACGTCCATAGGTACTGCATACATGCATATAAGATCTTTGTCCAATCTCTTCCCGCATGCCCCCCACCCCTTTCCCCCTAAAAACTGTCAGTCCACTGCATTTCCATACCCCTGATTCTATTACATTCACCAGTTTATTCTGTTCATCAGATTTTTTATTCATTTGATTTTTAGACTCACTTGTTGATAGATATGTATTTGTTGTCACTTTGTTTTCATAATTTTTTATCTTTACGTTTTTCTTCTTCTTCCTCTTCTTAAAGAATACCCTTCAGAATTTCATACACTACTAGTTTGGTTGTGAAGAACTCCTTTAGCTTTTTGTTGTCTGTGAAGCTCTTTATCTGACCTTCAATTCTAAATGATAGCTTTGCTGGGTAGAGTAATCTTGGTTGTAGGTTCTTGCTATTCATCACTTTGAATATTTCTTGCCACTCCCTTCTGGCCTGCATAGTTTCTGTTGAGAAATCAGCTGACAGTCATATGGGTACTCCCTTGTAGGTAACTAACTGTTTTTCTCTTGCTGCATTTAAGATTCTCTCTTTGTCTTTTGCTCTTGGCATTTTAATTATGATGTGTCTTGGTGTGGTCCTCTTTGGATTCCTCTTATTTGGGGTTCTCTTCATTTCCTGGACTTGTAAGTCTATTTCTTTCACCAGGTAGGGGAAGTTTTCTGTCATTATTTCTTCAAATAGGTTTTCAATATCTTGCTCTCTCTCTTCTTCTGGCACCCCTATAATTCGGATGTTGGTATGCTTGAAGTTGTCCCAGAGGCTCCTTACACTATCTTCATATTTTTGGATTCTTTTTTCTTTTTGCTTTTCTGGTTGAGAATGTTTTGCTTCTTCATATTTCAAATCTTTGACTTGATTCTTGCAATCCTCTAGTCTACTGTTGAATCTCTGTATATTATTCTTTATTTCAGTCAGTGTATGCTTAATTTCTGACTGGTCCTTTTCCATATTTTTGGCATTCTCACTAAGATCCTTGAAGGTCTCATTAAGTTCCTCGGAGGTTTCTAGAAGATTCTTGAGTAACTTGAATCTTAACAGTGGTTTTGAACTCTATATCCAGTAGTTTGCTTTCTTCCATTTCTTTCATTTGTGACATGTTTATTTATCTCCGAATTTTGGCTGCTTTCCTGTGTTTGTTTCTATGTAATGGGTAACTGCTAAGTCTCCTTGAGTTGATAGAGTGGCCTTGTGTAGTAAGTGTTGTATAGGGCCCAGTGACTCAGCTTCCCCAATCACCTGAGGTGGACACTCTTGGTGCACCCCTTTGTGGCCTGTGTGCACAGTCTTGTTGTAGTTAAGCCTTGATTGCTGTTAGTATCATTGGCCTCCAGGCCAATTGGCTGTGAGGACCATCTGTATCTACAATGGAAGAGCTGTTGTGCAGGAGACTCCCTTATGGGGCAGGACTTGCTTCAGTGGGACTTTGGTGCTCACTGAGTCTGCCCCTTGAGTGTGTCACTTATGGATGTGAAGATTTGTAATCTGGTATGATCTCACACTGACCACTGGGTACACTGGCTCTTGGATCTCCAAGGAGGTGCAAAGTCAGCCACTGCCTGGGGCCACCCAGCAAGAGTTACAGAAAGATCTGCAGATTCCTCCTCTTTGTATTAGGCTTGGAAGTGCCCAGATGAGGCCCAGCTATGAAGTAAGGCAGGCTGGTGCTGGTGCCAGTCTTGGGCCTTCTTTTGATAGCTTTGGGGCTCCCTGACCCAGCTGCAGCTTGTTT